CATTTAGGAGAAATTCCTAGCATAGTCATCATATATTGTTTCACTGTGATAATAAAGGTGTTGTCTACATCTGGAAGAAAGGTACAACATGAAGTCCAAATATCACACACCTTGTCCAGACAATATCCATTGTCGCTGTAAAAGGGAACTCTTTCAAAATTGACCATTCTATTTGTCAAGTACCTGGCTCAGAGTGGCCTAACATACAAACCGTTAAAGTTGTATACCGGTACACACCGACTCTGGCTAACCAAACATCGCCGACCACAGGCAGTTGTAACACATACTACTTGGCAGCAAAAGGTTGCTAAGGAAACCCTGACCACCTATCACTATTAACATTCTACAAACTTATGCTATGGTTGGCAAATTCAACACAATGTCACCCCGGCATAACATGTGTAATCGAGCTACAAGTTTCATCAACCCAAACACAAACTTTCCAGTTAAATGAAGAAAGCTGTCTCACATGTAAAAACTTAACTACTCACCTGCATGAGCTGTTGACCAGAGCGGGAATCAACATCCACGTATACACAACCCACAGCTTCAGAAGAGGCGCAGCGGCAATCACAGTAGAAACAAACCTGCCAGACTGGTTGATTAAGGCTAAAGGAAGATGTCGGAGCATATCAGGTCTATATTGACACACCTGCGTTAACACTACAAGCCATGCCTTGCATCCTTTGTGGACGTTCATCATCATAGGCGCCTTCATTGTCATGCTACACAAGCTCTTGATTTTTCTATTGACATTTTGTATGCCACATTTACGCTACAGTCATGTTGAAAAATTGATTATTTCATCACCTTACCATGCGAGTTGGATCCTCTTCATCCTAAGGTGTTGAAATGTTGTCTTGTTTAGGTGGTTGAATTTATTAAGTGCGTTCTGTATAAACAGATAGTGTGTTAGTTGGTAAGCCATGTCACTTTACAAAGTCAATCTGAGCTCGGTTGAGGTTGATTGTACTTTTGTGTCAGTCAGTGTTCAGACGTAATTTTTGATAAATTTAAAAATGGATAACAATGTCAGTTTTGTTGCTTGTATTTAAGGCACATGGATATAAAACACCAACATACATCTGTGGAATATGGTGACTCCATATGTGCAATTATATTTTGTCTTGAGATCGGCCTCTGCCTCATTTCTGGTGGTACCACAGTCAAGGTTGATGACCTGCGGTGAAAGAGCTTATGCTGTGGTTGTACCATTGTTATGAAATGCTCTACCATTGAAATTAAACAGTGTACTAATATTAATGAATTTTAAACTCATATTAAACCATGTTTTTTAAAGAAAATTATCAAAGTATGAATTATGCATTTTCTTCTTTGATATGAACATGTATTCATCACTACTCTTTCTTATGTGATTTTTTCATTAAACATTGTCATGTACTTTTGATCAAATTTTATTTAATAATTAGTATTAATATTATGTACGTATGTATCATCATTCTCACAAGCATTTAAATATTCAAAGATAAAAAAGGATTTGTTTTATTATCATTACCACTTCCACTATGAACACAGAAACTGTCAAGTATATTAAGTAATTCAAAGGAGAATATCTCTTCTAACATGTTGAGCATTTACAGTTCTACAATATTTTATTGACTGTTTACAAGTATCTCCTGCTTGAAGTGCAAGCAACCAAATGTACATACCATCTTAACCACCCCAAAGATAACATTAAGGTTAAAACAGCATTGTCTATATTCATACATATAATTTATCTCATTTGTATTGTAGATGCACCAACTATTACATTAACTGATAAAATAACAATAATTGAAGGTGAGAGTTTGACAGTAACCTGTCATGTCAGCTCAAATCCTGAGGCTACAGTAACATGGGAGGATTCTAATGGTGTGAAGATTAAAGATGATAGTTTGTTGGAATATACTGAAATTCACAGAGATGATGCTGATAAATATACATGTATAGCTACCAACACTTTGTATACTGGTGTAACTGAAAGGAAGTCATTCACAATCATTGATGTACAATGTGAGTATACTGCAAATGAATCTGCCTGCATAAACTTTCAATTTTGTTTTTGGATTTCAGAATGTTAAGTCATTTTGGTCAAAAAAGACTAAAAATGTGTGTCTCACTACTAACTCTTAAAACACTTTCAAATTGATGGATTTTCATGAAATTCACTACAGATCGGTATATAACTAAATTGCACAGATAAACATGAATTTTGTTTTTGGACATGTTGGGTATGGGTTTTACATATAGGTTAAAATGGGTGCAAGTATACAACAATTTATAATTGATTACACAATGAGGTGAAATTTTATGGTAATCCATGTATTTTTAGACAGTGTTTTGGTCAAAAATGAGAATTAAAAAATGTAGTTTTCTCTGGTATTTAGGTATTCATTGAGTAATTTTGTTCAAAATTTGTAGAAATTAATACTAGTATACATGTTCTACTGGCATCTTATGGTGATATATGCACTTTCAGTTTTTTTGGGCATGGTATGGTTATTGTAGGGTAATTGTTTGATCAAAAAATGGGGTAAAAATGACATTGTTTTCTGATATTTCAATATGCAAAAATAAATTATGATGAACTAATTATTCTACCTGTATATTATGGTGGCTCATGCTCTTTCAGATAGTATAGCTATGAGCATGCAGAAGTATTTTCTAAGCATTGTTTGTTTGTCTCATTTTTTTTTCATTCATAGATTTGCCTACTGTTATTAGTAAAAACACTTTTGCTGGTGAAATTGGTGAACCAGTTGTAATGAACTTAACTGTAGATGCAAATCCTTCTCTCACCACCTTCAGTGAATGGAAGAATGGAAATGTAACATTAAGCATTAAAACTGATTCATCATCAAGCAGTGTGGTCTATATTGATGAGGTAACTGAAGAATATTTTGGATTCTACAATATTACAGCGTCAAACAGTGTTGGAGAAGTCATTATTCAGATTCAGTTGGTGCAAAGGTAATTTTTTTGGATTTACAATATCTATTGAGAGTAGTGTTGAGCAAGTATTTTTGATTGATGTGGTACCAACAGGAAATGTGCTGATAATGTATCTCTGAGAACTGGTAACAACATGTACATGTAAGAGTTGTAACAAACACAAACTAGTGTCATGCATAAATGTTACAATTCTGCTTGAATTAGTAGAAAGCTGGGTTTTATTGATATTAATATTATTATTTTAATTATTCGTTTTGGGCTCATGATTCTTTTATTATTCTTCACAACCCAAATTATCATGCACCAGTTATAAGTGAATAAATATGATATGCATAACTTTCTACATTCAGCAGTCTTGTCTATGTGTTTGAGTGACTCACAATTATTTCCTGTATTGGTATACGTTTTATTTATTTTAAAATGTCAGTTTATTCAGGGAGGAGATTATTTCTGGATGGGCATGCATATTAAAATTGTACCATGAAAAATGAATCAACGTGTATCACGCAGTTCCCATTTAAAATAATTGTACAAGGATTCTTGACCAAATTTCACTGACATATCAAGAACCACTCAACAGATGAAACACAGGTACACATGTACTTTTTGAGTTGGTTTATATTGTCTTATGTGGATAATATTTATAATAATAACTTATTTTCAGCTCTTCTACTGACAAGGCAATATATTCTATCTGTATTTGTAAATATAACTATACCCTCAGTTCTTTCTACGAAACTTGCTTATATTAATTATCATTGTTGGTAGGACCTCCTGAACCACCAAAGAACATTGTTATTGTGGAGACTGGTTATGAACAACTTACTGTAGAAATAATACCAGGATTTGATGGTGGTGAACCAGACAACATTGTTTATTACCTGCAATATGGTCTTGAGAATAATATGACTTATAAACCATGGCCAGAAGATGGTGGTGGTAGTGTGAATGAAATATTGACAATAACAGGTTTAAATGTTAAAACTACATATGAATTCATATCACATGCTTCAAACAGCTTTGGTAATGGAGATTTATCAAACATTTACCGTTTTAAGACATATGGTAAGTTATCTTGTTGTTCGGAATACCTTTTTTGTGTGCAACACAAAAATGTAGCAGGCATTGCCTTGCAATCGAGTGCTGCAGAGTAATTTATTGATTGACTGAAAATAGAACTGACGTAACAGTAGAACGTCAAATCTTGTGAACTGCAGAAGTCAAGTTATTATCATGCCTGAGTTGATTGGAATTCAAGATTACACCACCCAGGATTCGTGTTATGCCACTGATCAGAAAATAATTGCCTTATCATTGAACACGTTTGAAGATGCTTTGTCATGAATGAGTTGTCTCGTTTCGCCGCCCATTGACCAGAAGTGCACTGTTTCTTGGGGCATATATTTTTGCTCCATACTGTTTTATTAGTTCCACTGTAGACTTTGTTGAGTGAAGCTAATCGCATTAGTGATTGTCCATCGTCGTTGTCTGTGTCAACTTTTAAATATGCTGTCACCATGTATGACAAAGTGGAGCTGTTTATATAGATTTTCCGGATTTGGTAGATTATTTTTGTCATTTATGGTTAAAAATAGTTTTATTTTTATTTTCTCAGTTTTGCACATTTCCGACTTGTTCTCTGAAACCGCATGCCACATCGCTTCGAAATTCATAATTCATTTGGTGAAGATATTTCTATTTTTATAAGTTATGATTTTTTGGGGGTATTGTTCAGTTCTTATATGGGCTATGTATAATGCATGGACTCTAGTAGACAACTGTGTCAGTTGGAAGCGCTAGGCCTCCTCAGTACACCATGTTTTGGAAAATAAACTGAATGGGCCAATGTTTCCAGAAATGGTTCAGGTCAAAGTAATTTCATGGTTTGTACGTTTGCTGCTTTTATATGGATGATACGAAACAGTGGGGGTGGGAGGGACTAAAACACCTCCCAACAATCGTGAAGGCCGGATCAGGGTCATCTCAAGGTCAGAGTCATCTCAAGGTGACATGTTTGATTGCATGTTTATTGTGGGTCAGGAAGTCACCACTCAATCAGGATCTTTCAAGGAAAGGTCAAGGTTATCTCAAGATCAATTGTCACATTTTGGATATATTTGAATAATGGGGTTATTGCAATCACTGCCCTCTGCACGTGTCAATTACAGCGGAGCTCTTCCGATCGCAAGGTCGTTTGTTGGCTTTAGGTTAGTAGGTTTAGCTTCGCCGTTGACTCTTTCAAGCAGAGCTTATCATATGAGTGATATATATGTAGTCAATTGCGTTGGTGTTTGCATCAACTTCTACTTCTTAAAAAACTACAAGCCGTATTGCTTTGATACGTAGTGTAAATATACCTTGGGTATATTTCCCACAGGTGTGTTCTTTTCGTGATGATATCTATAATTCTCAAATTTTGGTGAATATTTTTGTCATTTTTGGTAAAAATTAATATTTTCGACTTCTTGATGAAAAATGCAAGACGGATTGCTTTAATAGTATGCATATAGGTAGTACAGGTGGATCTCACGCATTTTTTAAATTTTTTGTAAAAAGTTGATATTTTTGACTTTTTAGGGAAAAACTGCAGGTCTGATTGTTTTGATATTGAACATATAGGTATCTTATATAGGCCTCCCTTTGATTTGTTCATTTTGTTATGATATCTTGAATTCTCAATCTTTAAAATAACAGCAAGTTTGATTACTTTGTTATTATAGATAAAAGGTACCTCGGGTGGAGCGATCTCATATTTGTTCATTTAGTTGATGATATGTTCAATAAAATGTGCATTTCTAACAGCAAAGCTTTCTTAGCTGAGAGGATGTTTGTTTCTCAAGAACTATTTGACATATTCTGATGAAATACAAAAAAGATCTGGGTAATGTGCAGACTTCATTAGTTTTTGTTCTAAATATATACACATTAATGATCCTATTTGCATAATAATTATTTAACAGATTTAAATAAAGCTTGGTACAAATATGATCTAATTAATGCACAGACCTCATTAGTTTTTGGTTGAAATTTGTGCTTAATAATGATTTAATTTGCATATTAATTAACCAATTTTAAGCATTTTCACTTGTTTTTCGAGTACCATTTAACATATTCCAATGAAACATGGTACATAGGTGGTCGGCAAGAAGCAATATACATGTATAGTTCAGGATTAAATTATGTGTTTACTGATTGCCGTATTTGCAAACATGTGCTACTGTTCTACAGCTATCTTCAGGTGCGTTTGGATAATCCACAGATCCGATTATTTTAACGTAGTAATCAATGTATAATAATTACCCATCTTGTATAAATGGGATAATGTGACCTCATTAATATGCATAAAACTTCAGACATAGACATGAAACTAGTGCTATATTGGGGGCATTTGACAAGAGATACCACTAATATACCACATGTCAATGTATGGTCATGTGGCCTCATTCATATGCATAAC